AGAGAGAGAGAGAGAGAGAGAGAGAGAGAGAAAGAGAGAGACAGAGAGAGACAGAGAGAGACAGAGAGAGAAGAGTAACGGTTCAGTCATAGCTTACGACAAGTCGAAACAAAACACGACACATTTCACCCAGTACACATTACAACAAAAATGACACGCACTGACAACGAAGAAGGAAGTAACGAAGTCCATGTCATTTCACGGGTCATTTTCCCCAGGTTAACAGTCATAGGTATGGTAAAGAAGTGTGCAGTCAGATTCATGAATAAATGTGAAACGTGCTGACAAAATGAGTTATTTCTCACAATCCAAGAATGAAGATATCAGCCAAAAATCGACATTTGGGTCAAATTTATAGATTTTCAATAATTGATGTCATTTTGTTCAAGTCCACCGTGTCTTATATTATTCCATTCTTATTTGTACAAACTCCTCTTACAAATTGTACAAACTTCCACCTATAAAGTTGGCGTATCAATTTCCATAAGGCTAAAATTTGATAAGTAACTCATTTTGTCATCACGCCTCACAAATGTGTATTATATGTCAATGGTCTGACACCGTCTAAACTTCTCCTGTACACATCATATTAACCTACTGCCTACCCATCATATTTCTCATAGCTACTCCCTGAGTACCAGCCATTTCAATGTATATATTTTTTTTTACTAAGAGTTTTACGGCACTTGCAACACAATAAGGTCATGTAAGAGCCGAAGATTAGAGGTGATACAAGAGAATAACAAACACAAAAAAGAAGGGCGCGAGATAAAGACGATAGAAATTTGATAAGAAAGAAGAAGCAAACCACACCAGAGCACCCGCCAACAACCCACCCATACCCTTTGACCATAGCATTTTGCCCCCCCCCCAGCACTGACCTGTGAGTAGAACTGGCTGAGGAAAGCCTTCTTGTTGGTGGGGATAAACTCCTCCAGGTAGGGCTGCAGGTACTCCAGTTGCCGGGCCAGGAACATTCTAGAGAGAAAAACACACAAAATAGGAGAATGGATACATCGTCAGCTTTAAACTCTTTATCTCCGGAAAACCGCTCCCAGCGGCTCGCGGTCGGAACTGTTGTGCAGGTGAGCTGCTGACAGCGGCTTGGGCACATTCCTTTACGACAACTTCGACACCAAATTATTTTTCGGCAATTGCTGAAAACAAATTTCTTTTACCGGAAGTTCATTCATAAGATGAAGTACTATCACTATCATAATAAGTTCGCTAGTTTCGATTGAATGACCCATTTAATGACATTTTTGTAATTTTTAGATTTAGTACCAAAAAAAGGGCCCGGTGTAGTGGGTTTACCCCACTTGGAGATAAAGAGCTAAGATGTTCTAAATGCGTAGCAAATTGTAATTGTAAATAAACATATATTCATTCTATCAACACAATTTACATAATTTAAGAGACAGACTGCTGAAGGGTATACAACTTCCCAGCAGAGCAAAACAGCGACACTTGACCAAAAAAAAAAAAACAACAACAAAACACAAAAAACGACCTCCCCACAAGAGAATCAAACTCGTGTCATCTGCGAGCCATGGCAAGAGCCTAACCGCTACACCACAGATGCCAGCAAAGACAAAGCACTATAGTCAGGCACCGACTGGTTTTAGCCGTTCATTCTCATAGATATTTCTATTTTATTCAAGAACTGATTTTTAAAATGATCAACTCCTTTTCTATAATGTAGGCTACTACAATATAACCCACAAAAATATGCAAAGAGGATTTTATTGAAACCAAGCATTTTCACTAAAGGAGTAAAAAGGATTATAGGCCTACTGTATAGGTGAAATCATCTGAAATTGCATGGTCTGTTGACATAATAAATGCATATTAAAAAATGTACGATTTGGGTTCTTTCCACATACTATTTTAGGTCGGTGTTGCAAACTGGAAGTCAGCCTAAAAAAAGAAACCCAAGACATCAAAACACAAAAGATTATTATATTATATATACAAATGAAACGTCATTCATTCATATAACGCGAAGTTCTGTTCCGTTTGATTAAGACTTTGTGACTTTTAATTAGAATTTCTACAATTGGAAAAGGATTTAATAAAACCGAGT